AAAAACAGTAACATCCAGAATGTGACCGCCTTACCGGTGAGGTGCATTCTGTGGAGGAAGACTCTGAGCACGGCCTCCAAGACATCATTGCAGTAGAGAGAGTATTTTCTTTTTTTCCTTTTTCTTTCACTTGCGGGCAATATGAAACGGTATTCACCAGTTTGCAGTAGCTGATGCAGATCCCAGGGCTCGATCCCTAGTCCCCACTTTACCTGTGTACAGTACCTGTGTTGACCCGTAGAGTTGAACCCGTGACCTGTGTATTTTTAACAGTTGATAGGTTGTCATAGGGTCCATAGGTAGCAGGGGTTCGATCTGTAGATCCGTCGAGTAGGAGTCTTAGTCAGGTCTAGAAGTCGTAGCTGTAGCTTTCCCGAAAGGTCAAGGTCGAAGCTGCTACAGTCCGGAAGGGTCAAAGTCGTAGCTGCTACAGTCACGAAAGGCCAAGTCTACCGCCTTCCGGAAGGTCCCCGTAGTGGCCTTTCGAAGTTGCCCACGTTTAGACTGAGGCAAGTGGGCAAGTGGTGAGGCAAGTGGTGGAGTCTGCCCGTGCTGAGTCAGCGGTCCCAGTCCTAGGCAGTCCTGGTCCAGTCAAGCAAGTACCGCATGGGACTGTGTGCACTTCGGGCATGGGAAAGGGCCAGACCAACGAGCTGCAGAAGTAAAAATCAAGAGGCAGCGCCCAGCCATTCATTCATTCCTGCGTGAGCCATGCGGAAGCGCTGCCACAGCGGCTTGTGCAAGGAGGTCTGCAGTGAGCCCGAAGACGAAGTGGGCAGAGAGACGAAGCATAGCCGTAGCGATAGGGTAGAGGCGGCCATAGCCGCCATAGCTGTAGTTAGTGTTCAGTGTGTGTGTGTGTGAGGGAACAGTGTTGTGCGTGGGATATCCAGGGTGATCCACTGTATGCGAACAGAGAGTTGTATGGGCGCTATGTCGCCATAGCCATTGGAAGTGAACTCGTATCTGGGTTGCCATATCTCTGGAGTACTGAGTGGGCGCACGTCGCCAGTTTGCTGCGCTACTGTTTGCATGCATGTAAAGTGTGAATGAAAGCGAGTCTGATTGCATTGGTACCCGCTGTTCCACGCGCTGCGTTGTGTGTCGCAGGGAGTGCTGCGCCATAGCTGAGGTGGCTGATGAAGAAGAAGTCCGCCATAGCAGACACCGAGGTTGAAGAAGCCGCCGCGCGCACCTGCAGAGAAGACCACGACGAAGAAGAAGAC